CCCCCTCCTCTCTCTTTTTTTTGTCCTATGTTTTGCTTGTATGCCTCGTCTCTTGCTCATTGCCTTGCTCTCTATCGCCTGTCTTACCCCCTTGCTCTGCTTTCCAGTCTCACTCAGACAAGAAGTTTGACTACAGACAATTTGCTGCTATTCCGTCTTCCAAACCGGTGTATGAGATCCAGGTACTGTCTGCATGCTGTCACATGACCCGGCTGGCAGCCAATCTCTGACTATAAAAAACGGAGTCTCAGCAGCCAGGGTGCATTATGGCTCTGATTGCTTTGGTGATGGGGGCGAGTGGAGGGTGTTGGTTTCTTGTTGGCCTTGTGCGGTGTGGCGAGGGCCTTCCCCTATCTGTGTATTACAGCAGACATCCTTGTATTATGCTTCACATGCTCCTCCTATCACACCTCCCTTTAGGTCATCTGCATTTTGGAGGCACATGAGTTCTGATAGGTCAATGTGTCGCATTTTATAGCAACCAACCAGCAATCAGATGATCGTCTACAGGTTACGCTTTGTGCTTTTTAAAGGGAATCAATAGCACTTGTCTGGTTTTTAGATAAGCCGGATGTAAGCAGTATACGGGGGCAGCTGTATCTGCATTATGCATATTGCATAAGCAGTATGTGCTTCCTCCTTGGTAGAGCGCACAAACATAGTTTGCACAGCAACTGCTCTTTACTGTTCCACTCTCAGTGCGAATCAGTCCCAGCTGCTTGGAAAAGCGCTAGGTCCAATCCACTAGCATGGACAACTCATTTTTTTCCCCTGGCCCTCCAGCTCTTGTGGAACTACAAGTCCCATGAGGCATTGCAAGACTAACAACCACAGGAATGTCTCCCAGAGGCCGATGCATGATGGAATTTGTAGTTAAAGCACAGCTGGAGGGCTGGAGTTTGCCCACCCCTGCTGTAGGCTGAAGTTTCCCTTTAAATGCCGCACACTGTTCTCTCCTGTTCTGTGGACAGATATTTCCAGGCCCGTCCTGCCACCCTCCTTATTCCCAGCTCACAGGGCCACTATTCCAACGTTATAAAATCTCCGACCACGTTTTTTTAGGATTGGAACATAAACATCAGATTGGGCTGCCCCATCGGTCTTCCTGTGTTGTCATTGTGGGCCTATGCTTTGTGTGCTGGGAATAGAGGTGTTCTCTTTGCTTGAAGTGTGTGATGTTACCTATAAACCTCACTGCATGCCTTGCACTGCATGTCCTGTACGTGTTGCGTGTTCCCGCTGTAATTCATATTTCTCTGTCTCTTGTATCTAGTCCCCTGACACAACGCCGGGCCTGAAGTACGAGGATGGCCGAATATCAGGTAAGTGGAGCGGAATTCCTTGAGAGCCCGACAATGATGGATAGATATGAGGGTGTAACACTCTGCTGCCTTACCTTGGGCTGACGTCACACATGGGGCAGTAAACACAGGCTCCCCTGCCACCCGCTGACAAGTTAGCATTGCAGCCGATCCTTGCTGTACACAATGGCTCAGCAAAAAATTGTACAGTATGTTGCATTGGGAATCCCGTACCGTTTAAGTGAATGGGACTGTGCTGTAACCACGTGCCAAGTGCTTTCAATTTAAGGCTCTCACGCCCCAGTCACATTAGTGATCCTGATGCTGTTGAGAAGTCGCCAGCGCCAATTTCTCTGTGTAACATATACAGCAGGGCAGTAAAACACTCATCTGCTTGCATGTGTCACATACGAGCAGATGAACTTTTATCTCCATGTGAGTATTTCAGCAGTAAAGGTGACCGCGCTCTTGCAGTGTGTTGATCCGCAAGCACAACATACAGCCGGGCAGTAAAACTCTCATCCTCTTGTATGCGTTTCTCTCTCGCTGGAAATACACTCTGAAGCATATTCATCAGTGACACCAAGCAGGTTATTGGTTTCCTGCACATTATAGCGATCCCTAGTCATTGGCCCCTGTCTATTCAATGACGGGACCCCTGGTGTTTGCTGAGATTGCCTTTGCAATAACCACATAGGTGTTTTTTTTTTATTCTGCTGCACAAGCTATGTTGTTGTTACAACGGAAATCTCTGGAAAGACTTGAGATCCGTCACCTTTTGTGCGCAGGCCATGCACCCTCCTGAAAGCGTGAAGGTGGATTATTCCTCGTGATCCCTAGTGTGATACGGGCCTTGGTTCAGTACCCAGGTACAGATATACACACATAGTTCAGGGTCTCCTCACACCTGATTTTTCTGTAAGAACCGCTCTGTTTTCTGGAGGGTTGGGAAAACCTCCTTCTCTCCGTTCTCCTAATGATCTCTTTACTCTGCTCCAGACTGATCCCCTCCCACCGTCCTCTCTCCATCCCGGCAGCAATGTATTCTGGGTAGGCGTACTGCTGTGTGCTGTGTTTCAGGCAT